TTTTTTTTTTCTTTTAAAGAACGCGTTACTGGCAGGACATGTTTCAATCTACCACAAATCATTTAGTTTTTGACACGGGGAACTGAAAGGATTTTAAATGTCTTGCCCGCAGAAAACTTCCCGGGGGGGGGGGGTGGGAGGCAAAAAAATTTTTAGTAATGTTTTAATGTAGTTTTAATTTACTGTAGCTTATTTGTATAGTAAACGAACGGACACGACATCAGCTTAGTTACTTTCTCTTAATTTTCTCTTTACTTTAATAAACTTTTTGTCTATTTTTGTCTAAAAATTTTTTATCCAATCAATCTGGGGGGGAGGGGGTGTTACAAATGCCCCCCTTGCTCCCCCTGCGGGCGCCCATGTCTGCTACTGTGCTGGGTTAATTCTAGTTCTCATAAAATGGACAGCTTACCAGATATTAGCGTTGTCGAAGACGTGCGCATGTGCCTTCGAAACAGAATGGGAAATACCTTACATGCTTAACTTCCGTATTGTTTTGTTGTTTTTGTTGCTTTTTTTGTATGTTGCTGTTTTGTGTTGGACGGCGTTTCGTCTGTGCAGCTTAATAAACAACATAAGGTGAGGGTTGGCTGTTCAGGTTATATGATTTTACTATCTAAATTGGGTCCGAATATGCTCGAAAGTTTAATCGAATAAATTGTAGATAACTCCCTTTAATTGGTATGATGCTATCTATTGAATTTAGACTCCCGAAGGGAAGGTATTCAACTTTTCAAAATAAAGTACGGATCAAAATGGGATCTGAAACTTGTAATAGATTTATTGTAATTTTTTTTTGTGTAAAGTCGTATCCGGAAATTTGATTGAAAGAAATTTCGTCGACGGTAAATTGATCGACGGTAATTTGATCGAAAGGAAATTCGGTCGAAACTTTTTTTCAGTTTTTACGTTATAATTTTGCTTCAAATTTCTTTTTGAGCGCATTACTTTGTTTTACCATGTAGTATAGTTGACGTTGTATAACGCTCAATAGAATTACTGGGTCGCAAAGAAATAAGGCTTAAGAGAAAAATAATGTCTTATGGATATTGTTAACTGGCACCTGGAAAACTGGTCGCTTTAGCACCATGTACCAGAAAACAGTCTTAAGCACCATGTACCAGAAAACAGTCATTTAGCACCATGTACCAGAGAACAGTCTTTTAGCACCACATATCAGAAAACATTCTGTTAGCACCATGTACCAGAGAAAGTCTTTTGCCATCATATATCAGAAAACAGTTTGTTAGCACCATGTATCAGAAAAAAATGTATTTTAGCACCTTGTACAAGAAAACAGTCTTTTAGCACCATGCACACAGAAAAAAATAAGAAAACAATCATCAAGCTAACCATACATTTATGTACGTTATAGTAGCACAACTGCTCGGGTAAATTTAGAAAGAATGGTCATGTGAAGTACATGAAGTATTACAATGTAAGTACTCCCAGTAACAATTGTTGTTGTTTTTTTTCTGATCTAGAGACAGTATAGGAATTTCTGGGGCCAAGACCCCTGATGGTTTTTGATTAAACTTGGTACTGTGCATTCACATTCTACTTTTCTACTTGGTACGGTAATATTACAGGAAGTTTCCATCTACCACCATGTTAGCCAGGGGCCAAAAGAAAGACCAACTCCGGGAATTGTATGAACTCCGACACTGATGTTGCTCCCCCCCCTCTCCCCACTTCTATGCTAACGTGGATAGTCACGTTTCTAGCTAGCACGTGCCTCACGTGCCTCACAAGTCTCACGACACCTTCTCATACACTCGTGCTCGCCATGACCTTCGTGTTGACCTTGAACCGTTCTCAAATGATCACGAACAACCTTTTCCCAGAAATGCCAAATAAATGTCGTGTTGTTTATCGTGTTGTTTATCGTGTTGTTTATCGTGTTGTTTATCGTGTTGTTTATCGTGTTGTTTATCGTGTTGTTTATCGTGTTGTTTATTGTGTTGTTTATCATCATGCTTATAACCGTTCTTATCGTTTGGTGTATCATCTTATTGGTTTCTGGGTTTCTGAAGCAATAACTGATGTCTTTTACAGAGAGGAAAAAAAAGACAGTGACCCCATTGGTCAACTTTGAACTTGAACCTCTGTGCATGTCATGCGTGTAATCAGCTACATCGCTTATCAATTAGACTAATTAATGTGACTGTTGTGTAAGTGTAATGCTGTAACTTTACTGCATCTAAAAAAATAATTCCTATTTCATTTGTTGTAAATAGCTTATTAAAAAACAAATATTTTAAGTCGTTACTAAAAATTTTTGTTGGAAACCCATGCAGGATTTGATATTGTCTTGTGAATGTAGGCAACGTTTTGAAATCTGGGGCATGTAGGCAATGTCATGAAGTCTTGTGAATGTAGGCAATGTCATATAGTCTTGCGAATGTAGGCAGTGTCATGTGGTCTTGTGAATGAAGGCAATGTCATGTATATAGTCATTTAGGATGTAAAAGGGTGTCTTATAAGGAAACGTTTTGGGAAGATATAAGTCTTCCGTAATGTTCATTAAACTTTGGCGTCAACTTTGAGGAGTAACAACCAAAAAGTCTTGTCCCGTCAACAAGATTTCGATCAAAACAACACATGCATGCATTCACTTCTAAAAGGAAAATGAGCGTTATTTCAAAGAACTTAAAACGGTGCCATGGATCAGTTTGGATCTTGCTACATTCTTTGTAAATAACGATAAATAATTCCAGCATGCAAATGAACCTACCGTTTGTAAAGGTAGAAGACAAGGACACATTGTAAGTGTGAATAAAAGTTTACAGTTAAGGTTTACCCTCGTATTTAATGTCATTAACCTCATTGGTATGAAAGTCACCATTGGTACGAAAATAACATTGGGTGTTTATTTATGCTGCGTTGGCATTTTTTTTTCTCATTCGGTGTCTCGGAAACATTTTCAAAGGCTCCGACGTCAGCCGTAAATCGGAGCCGGGCCAATTATTCCCGGGGATTAAAGAACTCAGGCGTGTCAAATTATTTAATCAGTCTACACCCCCACCCCCCACTCAAAAAGGGGAGAAAACCCCTCGCCCCCCACTAACGTTTATGGATTTACTCCAGCTCTAATTACACGTACAGCGATACGATCGTCGTACATACAGGACCTTGATAATTATATATTTTAAAACATAGTTCATGTCAGCTGTGCGTAGAAAATGCGACAAAACTTCTCGCACGGACTCACAAAAAAGTAATTTTTGTCACGACTCAGTGATTGTGGGACATGGCACCGGCACCAACTTCGTGACTGGACAAAGAGGAAAATCGTGTGACCTTTTGACATGATTTGGCGACATGGCACACATGGAGGTCCGAGCTATAAAAGTGGCCAGATAACTGATTCCCAGCGCTTTCAGCGGTGAGCAAGTGTAACAAGCACTGAAGATGAATTTTGCACTCATTGCGGCGATTTGCCTGGTAAGATAATTATTTAGACATTTATTTTATTTTTGTCATGTTCATTTCTCCATTGCAATAGCAGCTCACTAACCAGACGTGGAATGAACGGAATTTAGCGAGAATATAGATAAACACAGTTTAGCCAGAAGATTGATAAACACAATTTAGTCAGAAGATTGATAAACACAATTTAGCCAGAAGATTGACAAACACAATTTAGCCAGAAGATTGATAAACACAATTTAGCCAGAAGATTGACAAACACAATTTAGCCAGAAGATTGATAAACACAATTTAGCCAGAAGATTGATAAACACAATTTAGCCAGAACATTGATAAACACAATTTAGCCAGAAGATTGACAAACACAATTTAGCCAGAAGATTGATAAACATAGTTTAGAGGGAAGATAGATAAACACAATTTAGCCAGAAGATTGATAAACACAGTTTAGCGGGAGGATATATAAACATAATAATTTAGCTAGAAGATTGATAAACACAGTTTAGCGGGAGGATATATAAACATAATTTAGCGGGAAGATAGATGGAAATAGTTTAGCGTTAAGATAAATATCCAGATTTTAATCAGTTACATCAAGGTGAAATAAAGTATAGAAAGTAGAATGTGGACAGTTACAGCTTGGTGAAATAAAGTATAGAAAGTAGAATGTGGACAGTTACAGCTTGGTGAAATAAAGTATAGAAAGTAGAATGTGGACAGTTACAGCTTGGTGAAATAAAGTATAGAAAGTAGAATGTGGACAGTTACAGCTTGGTGAAATAAAGTATAGAAAGTATAATGTGGACAGTTACAGCTTGGTGAAATAAAGTATAGAAAGTATAATGTGGACAGTTACAGCTTGGTGAAATAAAGTATAGAAAGTAGAATGTGGACAGTTACAGCTTGGTGAAATAAAGTATAGAAAGTATAATGTGGACAGTTACAGCTTGGTGAAATAAAGTATGGAAAGTAGAATGTGGACAGTTACAGCTTGGTGAAATAAAGTATAGAAAGTATAATGTGGACAGTTACAGCTTGGTGAAATAAAGTATGGAAAGTAGAATGTGGACAGTTACAGCTTGGTGAAATAAAGTATGGAAAGTAGAATGTGGACAGTTACAGCTAGAGTTCTTCACGCCGACCAAAGAGTTCTTCGTGTGACAACAAAGAATTGCTTTTCTTTGGTCACAGACGGTGCTAAAGCAATTTGAAATATCCTGGTTTGAAATTTGGAAAACAAAAAAAAATCATGGTCAACTTACAAATGGGTTCTATTTGTAAGAGTTCTATATTTCTAAAGGAGCTCTGAACTTGAAAAAACCTCACTTTGTCTCTTATAGACTGTTTGCTATTGGAGGAAACTATTTGTAGGAAACTTGTTTAGTGAGTGGAACAGTCTCACAAAAACCAAATGACACAGACGCATATTGTTATAGAATATGGTTTAATTACAAGAAACGCTTTGTTAAGATTCATCCCCCAAAAAATGCGGGCTCCGAGTCCACCCTCAGTTCAATTTATTATTTTATTTGTGAATGAAACAGGATCAGAAATCGTAGTATCCAAGCATTAATGCTTGCTCAGATTGTTCTTATGCCCCCTGTCCCCCCTTTTCGTCTAATGGCATTAAAGGACACGCCGTATGATTTGCTTACATCTTACAGGTGGCTGCCACCTCTGTACTCTCAGCCCCATGTCCTTCGACGGAGATTCAAGGTAAGTTGACAAGTGGATCGTACCTTAGTTGTTCGGATCTTTCGTGTTCTTGGCTATGGTTCTTATTAGTGATATAGCTAGAGCTTGAACGCTTGCATTAGAGCCCAAATTGCTGACTAGGCCACTCAACCACGTCACACTACATGCGTTGGGAAAATGTTTGGGGTGGGGAGGGGGGTGGTTGTGAACTCGGCCATTTTGCCAGGGCCTTCAAAAATTTTATAGTTGGGCCATTGGTTAAAATTAACCCATGTATTTTTGGGGCGTTGGCACAATATTAAAACTCCACTTTGTTTATATGTTCTTTCAAAATTTTAGTTTGTAATCATTCTAGATACAATTTAGGATCTCAAGATTTTTGTTGTTTTTTTTTCAATATCATTAGTTAAAAAAACTAAAACTAAATATTTTAAGAATAACAAAAGTCACCAAACATCATTGTCTTTTCTTTTCTCCCATGGCCAGACTGCAAAGACAACCCGTTAGAGATAGCTCTGGTCATCGACGGCAGTGCCAGCATTTGGCAGAACAACTTCACAGAAGGACTTTGGTTTGTGCAGAACCTGGTCAACAGGTTTAGCATCTCTCCCAATGCGGTGAGTCAGTTGATTATTTATTGTTAAAAAAAAAGAGGGGGGGGGGGAGGAGGAGGGGGTTGAGGTTAAGTCATTTGAATACTACTGGGACCACAATGCACCACGGTTGCGTATTTTGATACATTTTTTTTTTATGACGTCCTGTTTCCTTCTTTTCCAAGTCTCAAAATCAGACTCATTAAGTTCTGAACCAATAAGCTTTAGATTTAGATTAATAATTTCATTGGGTCATATGATTTTTTTTTTAAATTATTATTCTCTGTCCCTTACTATACAACCTTTATATTTAATAAGCTTTAAAACTAAGAGAAATGTAAGTTAAATGAACCATGCATGTGGCTATGCCGTGCAAAAAAAAAATAATAAATTCTTATAAATTGGATACCACATCTACTTAGGAAGCTGCGGTCAATCGAATTAATTTTTTGGCCGCATTTCGTTGTATACAGCGCCAACAATTATTAGGGTGAATTTTTACATTGATTACGTCATGTTTGCTGCCAGGAGTCGTTTCTAAAAGAACGTAATTATACGTTGGTGCATTATGGGACAACTTGAACCAGAATCACAATTCCTAGCCACTTGCAAAATCTCTGATGTCATGCCAGCATTGTAGGTTAAGCGTCAGTTCTCACGACCAAATAAGCTTCAAATTTCACGTCAAATTGTCTATGAGCGCATTATTTTGTGTGTGGTTTCCTTTTTTTTTTTTTTTTTGACAAAAATGGAAATTCGATCAAATGGTTATTTTTAAGCTGTGACAAGGGTTCATACAAAAATTTCAACAAAAAACATTGTAGGTTAAGCGTCAGTTCTCACGACCAAATAAGCTTCAAATTTCACGTCAAATTGTCTATGAGCGCATTATTTTGTGTGTGGTTTCCTTTTTTTTTTTTTTGACAAAAATGGAAATTCGATCAAATGGTAATTTGAAAGCTGTGACAAGGCTTCATACAAAAATTGCATCAAAAAATGATCGACCATTTGATCGCGTGAACTGAGCCTAAATTGAGTGTGCGCTCAAACGTAACTATGTATTTAAGTCAGATATACCCTTCATTTTAAAATTCTTTTATTTTTCTTATATGACCCCGGCTGCAGTTAACAACAGCATGACCCGGCTGAGTGTGACTTAATTTTGCCAATCATTTGACCTTATACACCAGGTTCGTGTCTCTCTGGTGACCTATGGTGACCGCGTCTACACGGAAGATGCTTTTGATTTTGACACGTATTCTGACAACGCAGGGTTGAAGGCGGCCATCGGGAACGTCCCCTACCGGGGCGGCAATAGGACAGAGACGGGAGCCGCCATTGCGTAAGTCATGTTCAAGCAATTGTCTCTCAGATGACGTCAAAAACAATATTTCATTATTTGAATTGCTGTCTCTGGACAAAACCTAACGTTAATGTGTAAAATCTGGAGTAAAATGTTTCGCCGATGAGCTAATCGGACGATTACTGATGAATCAGTTTGTTTTAAAGGCCGATCACATATTAATTAGCAAAAATGGGCAGTTAGGCCGATTATCGGTGGAACAGTACGAATTCTGCCGTAAATACTCAAATATCGATTGGACCGATTAACTGTGGAACAGTATCGAGTCTCAAGTAAAGACTGTATTGGCAATTAGATAGACAGAGATCTCGACCACTCTGTCTTAGTTAGCAGAATCTTCCGCAAGTGAAAGTGAAACAGTGACTGCAGCATTTGGTCTTTGCAGGAGACCTAAGGGCATACGAGTCATATTAAGTATGAAAATACTACACTTGGTCCACAGCATCATTGGTCCACGGCATCATTGTTCCACAGCATCATTGGTCCACAGAATCATTGGTCCACAGCATCATTGTTCCACAGCATCATTGGTCCGCAGCGTCATTGGTCCACAGCGTCATTGGTCCACATCATCATTGGTCCAGCTCCCATGGCTAAGCGATTGAAATGGCTGCAGAACTTTAAAAAGTCGGTGTTCTCCAGTTGTTAAGTCTCAGACAGAAAGCAGATTCAGTCTGGAAAAAATATACGACGAATCTCTGCCACTTGCGTCATTACACGGTGCTAACATCGAGTTTATGTTTGAACGACGGCATGCAAACAATAAGATGATGTCTGACCAACGATGTCAAGGTTATGTCTGACCAACGATGTCAAGGTGATTTCTGACCAACGGTGTCAAGATGGTGTCTGACCAACGATGTCAAGGTGATGTCTGAAGAACGATGTCAATTTGATGTCTGACCAACGAAGTCAAGATGATGTATGATGAACCATGTCAATTTGATGTCTGACCAACGATGTCAAGGGGATGTCTGACCAACGATGTCAAGGGGATGTCTGACCAACGATGTCAAGGTGATGTCTGACCAACGATCTCAATGTGATGTCTGACCAATGGTGTCAAGGTGATGTCTGATCAACGATGTCAATTTGATGTCTGACCAACGAAGTCAAGATGATGTATGATGAACCATGTCAATTTGATGCCTGACCAACTGTCAACTCCTACACGTCTTCTTGGATTGATTACATTCGTCAGTTCTTTCATACGTTGAAGCGTCGGATTACATTCGTCAGTTCTTTCATACGTTGAAGCGTCGTACTATTCTAACTATCAATTAACAAACTCAACTCCTTTTCATAATAACTATAACTTTAATATCTAAGTAAATATAATAAACATCCTATCACTCCAAGGTTCCACTCAAGACTGCCACACGACTACAACATACGTCACAACACTGCATAGACAATACGTCACGACTCAGCATAAAAATACGTCATAAAGACAATGGCGGGAAGAGCGTTCACTAACTATAATAGACAAGCGCGGGAAAAGCGTTCAACAACTAATGAACATAATATTGAGTCGCAACAATTCCTAATGAACGCTCATACTCGACATATCCCCCCTCTTTCATTTCAGATTTTACTCAGGGAGTGAAATCGTCACCAGACATACAAAATTTACATCAATTACATCAAGAAGAACCCTTCAGCCATATGAATGGTCCTTATCAAAAAACATTATTTAGGTATCACTGAAAATCAAACAGATTTATGATATACTGCAATAAAATAAACAATCCTTCGTACATAATTTTAAATGCAATTCAAGAGTTAAAAATTCATGTACGACAATAAAAATCAGACCATTGAAATTGAATGTCAACATTAATTTTCATTTTTCATACCAATAAAAATAATTATATTTTTATCTCAAAAATCAGGGCAAACACATCAACATCCTTACTGAATTTGAAACTATAACTAAGTTAATCCAAATCATATTATCAAAAAGGTGCATTTTTAAACAAAACCAATGGTCATCACTATAAAAACACAAAACTATCTAACATTAATACAGGTGAGAGATGTCTCACCACAATTTGAGCAGCCTTTATTTGCTCTTAAATAACACAGCTACAGATGGCGGGACATATCTTTTGTCCGTGGATTTCACAACTTTATGCTTCAACATGTTTATTATAATTAAAATTATCTCTCCCTGTTCTTTTGACCCGTGGTCATAACTCATGTGAAACCTCAGTTTTACAATACATATTTTTAAATTGTTACAAAATGAAAAACGAGTCTCATAAAAAAGAAATTCAAACAAATCAGGAACTTCAAAGCAATCATGGCAATAGTTCATTTTAACAGATTCATTTTGTTTAACAATACAATTAAAAGCCTCACCTCCCAACTCATGGACCTGACAACTCACCTCCTCTTGAAAATCATAAACAAGTGCACCTTTAGAGCTGGCAGCGCTCTCTTTAACACTTTCAACATTGGTTTCCAACTTAATGTTAGAGCACTCCTGGCTCTCAAAATCTGGACAACCTTCACTCACATTACTTGGGAATTTATTTTCATTACAACTATCTGTAACAATATGTACATTTGAGCAGCCCTGGCTCACATTTACAGGTGATTCATTATCATTACAGCTATCCGTAACAATATGAAAATCTGAGCAGCCCTGGCTCACATTACCTATTGATTCATCATCAATACAGCTCTCTGTAATACTATAAAATTTTGAGCAACCCTTGCTCATAACAACTTGTGATACATTTTCATTGCAGATCTCTGCAGTAACATCAAAACCTGAGCACACCTGGCTCACATTATCAACTAATTCATATTCATTACCAGTACATATCTCTGTAAAAATATCAACATTTGAGCAACCTTTGCTCACATTACACAGTGACTCATTTACATCACAATAATTATCAACAACAATTTTCTCTCCTTCCCCCACCTCAGGGATTACACTCACCTCATCAACCTCACACAAAAAATCAGACACTTTAACTTCAGGACTTACATTATCTGATGGCTCACCATGAGATACAACAAAAATCATGTCCTCAGACATTAGAACAGGGTTCTCTTTGCTTTCAATGCCGCCCGTTTCCATAACAACCAATTCATTACATGCTGTGGCGCTGGGACAATCCCCTACATACGTCCACCTAAGGTCATTTCCAATGACTTCTACCTTATTAAATTGTCGTCCCCTTTCTTCTTTACATTGGACTTCCTGGGATACACCAACTACTTCAACCTCGTTTTGACATGAATCTAAAGCTATATCTGTACCCTTTGCCACTGGGGGTATGTCAACACGGTCAACGTTGTCCCTTTTAACGTTAGCCGACGGATCAATTAACAAATCACTGTCATTTCCATTTAAAAAAATTGAGTCGCCAGCAGAGGCAATAATATCATTTTGTTCCTCAGTATCTTTAGCCATGAACCGTGGTTGCGAGGCCGGCTCTTGCCTGGGGTCAGGATCATGAGTATGTCCACCGTTATCCACATATTTGTTTTCACTTACATTAATAGAAACTCTATTAAAATTTTTATAGGGATTCTCACAGTGAATGCTGGCAATGCCATAATATATTTCTTCCCCTTGACTCTCGTCATCGTCACTGTCGCTATAATAATATGCCTGTCTCTTTAAAAATTTTTCCCGTCGTTCTGCCTCTAATTCCGCCAGTCTAATTTTTTCATCTAGTTTATCTAGTTCAAATTGTCTCTCTCTCTGTTTATTTATACGTTCTTCCTCTCTCTGTCTATCTATACGTTCTTCCTCTCTCTGTCTATCTATACGTTCTTTCTGTCTGGCTCTAAGTTCTTCCTCTCTCTGTCTATCTATACGTTCTTTCTCTCTCTGTCTATCTATACGTTCTTTCTGTCTGGCTCTAAGTTCTTCCTCTCTCTGTCTATCTATACGTTCTTTCTCTCTCTGTCTATCTATACGTTCTTCTTCTCTCTGTCTATTTATACGTTCATTCTCTCTCTGTCTATATATACGTTCTTCCTCTCTCTTTCTATCTATACGTTCTTCCTCTCTGGCTCTAAGTTCATCCTCTCTCTCTTCCCGTATGTGTTCTTCGACCTTAACTCTTATATATTCCTCTAGGTTCTCTCCCGTATAAAGAAGTAACACACCCACATGCCTAATTTCTTCTAAACTCCATTTCCTACTGACATATCCAGCCATAGCAATGCAAACTAAGGGTGATCATACAATAAACAATAATTAGGTTTAAGGACCAATCGCAGTCTGTTTAAACTAACTCTAGCAAAAATCTAAATTCTACCCAGGTAAAAAAAATGTTAATACATAAGTCATAAGAAAATTAATGCCAAAAATGTTTTAAACAATAAAAATCCAACTTGCCTGGTTCGTGGAAAGTCCTATAGAATTTAAATATTATTCAAAACACACACTGGGCTTAATTAAGTGTCAATGGTTCTTTACTGTCAATAGTTCTCTCACAAACTTCAATTGTCCTATATGGCGATCTTGGGACACAGTCATTGAGGTGTGGGTGACCGGGACGGGTCACGGGACATCGGCAGCTCACTGGACAGAACGTAGGCGAATCGCCGACACTGGACAGTTCGTGGGTAACTCGCCAATACAGGATCGGGCATGTGCAGCTTGATGCAGGACGGGACGTTGGTGGCTCGTTGAAACAGGACAGGGCGTTGTTCAACTGGGTGACCGGACAGGCCACATGACTTCACAGCTCACTGGACACGAAGTTGGTAGCTCACTACCGACAGGACGTAGATTACTCGATACAGGGGAAATGCGTAGTCAATTCACTGGAACTCAACTGCACATTGGCGACTTGATGCAGGTCAGGGCTGGGTATTTCACTGGAACTGAACACGAATTTGGTAGCTCACTACCGAAGGAACGTAGATAACTCGATACGTGGAGGGGCGTAGTTAACTCACTGGAACTGAACAGGACGTTGGCAACTTGATAACGGACAGGGCGTAGTTAATTCGCTGTAACTGGACACGACATTGGTAACTTCATACAGGGCAGGACGTAGTTATTTCACTGGAACTGAACAGGACGTTGGCAACTTGATAACGGGCAGGGCGTAGTTAATTTGCTGTAACTGGGCACGACATTGGTAACTTCATACAGGACAGGACGTAGTTATTTCACTGGAACTGGACACGAGGTTGGTAACTTGATAACGGGCAGGACGTAGTTAATTTGCTATAACTGGACACGAGGTTAGTAACTTGATAACGGGCAGGACGTAGTTATTTCACTGGAACTGGACATGAGGTTAGTAACTTGATAACGGGCAGGACGTAGTTATTTCACTGGAACTGGGCATGAGGTTAGTAACTTGATAACGGGCAGGACGTAGTTAATTTGCTGTAACTGGACACGACATTGCTAACTTGATGAGGGGCAGGACGTAGGTGGTTGATGGAGTTACTGGCGTATGCAACTCACATAAACTTGACACACGGTGGCAGCGGGGCTCCGACATTGAAATACGGGAACATGCGACGATGGTTGTAACTTCACTAAAGTTGAATACTAAGAATGTTCTTGTACTTTACCTCAAGTATGAAAATAACGAGGTTCACCAATCCCGGATGAGAAGCCCCCATGTCAACTCCTACACGTCTTCTTGGATTGATTACATTCGTCAGTTCTTTCATACGTTGAAGCGTCGGATTACATTCGTCAGTTCTTTCATACGTTGAAGCGTCGTACTATTCTAACTATCAATTAACAAACTCAACTCCTTTTCATAATAACTATAACTTTAATATCTAAGTAAATATAATAAACATCCTATCACTCCAAGGTTCCACTCAAGACTGCCGCACGACTAAAACATACGTCACAACACTGCATAGACAATACGTCACGACTCAGCATAAAAATACGTCATAAAGACAATGGCGGGAAGAGCGTTCACTAACTATAATAGACAAGCGCGGGAAAAGCGTTCAACAACTAATGAACATAATATTGAGTCGCAACAATTCATAATGAACGCTCATACTCGACACCAACGATGTCAAGATGATGTATGATGAACCATGTCAATTTGATGTCTGACCAACGAAGTCAAGATGATGTATGATGAACCATGTCAATTTGATGTCTGACCAACGATTTCAAGATGATTTCTGACCAACGATGTCAAGATGATGTCTGACCAACGAAGTCAAGATGATTTCTGACCAACGATGTCAAGATGATGTCTGACCAACGATCTCAAGAGGATGTATGACGCACGATATCAAGATGGATGCCTAGTGAGACACACACAACAGATTCACAACCGAGACATTCAAACAGCCCTGGACGATGCTAACCAGCACAAATACCTAGTCGATTTGAACGGCAGAACTTGGTCGACAAGAAACAGCTAGCAATGATGACCACCTAAGACCCTACTGAGTGACCCCTGCACCAATGCTGGTGACGTTGAGGCAATATGCTACCAGTGTGGTGTCGAATCTGGTACTGTGGCAGCTGAACTTTCTGACTTTACAATAACATACAAATTGTTTTGCGACTGAGAGGAATCAGAAGGTGCGGTCGTTTCCCAGACACCTGAACAGTCTGTAGAAGACATTGACACTGATAGAGCAAGATTATCTGATGAGTACAATACTGACCCCCTCTTCACTATGGCCAGGCAGATTCTCAATTGAAATGTGTAAATAAATGAAAGAGCTTTGCCTTCTTTAAGTTACCCGAATATCTGGTTATCCTAACTTGCTGACAGGGCCTTGCAGAGAATTTTTTTGGCCCCAAGTAAATCCAAATTTTCGGCCCCCACAAATTTCAAAAGAATTTTATCAAAAGGTTCGGGAATTTAAAACAAAAGAGACAAAGGGTATTTTATTGAAACGCACATTCTTTTTGGCAAATTTATTAGTGATATTTTATTTAAAAAATCCATCCCCCACGCCAAAAGAGACGTCAAACGGAATAAGGCCATAAGCCAAGTAATGTAAGTAGTGCCTTGTCTTAGCACAGATACGATGCGCGCCCTGTCTGCGAATGGGCCAAGAAGCGTTGTTTGTGTTAGTTGTCCTAAACATTTTTTTACCTGTAAACGGTAATGAAAAAAAAAATCGAATAATGCGAGTCCCTAGTTTTAAGTAGAATTTTTTAAACCCTACATTTCTCGCACTTATCGCGGCAACATGCGTTATTAGAAACGATTCAATCTGAGTATTCTATGACTGAATGGGACTGGGTCACAGTGACGCACACTCACTGACTATGACATTGAGCCACTAACTCACTGTGATACACTTATAAAATAAACCCAGTAAAGGGATTTTAATGTAAAGAATTACTGAACTATTAGTTTAGTGAAATTGTAATCGTTTGATATCACTATCATTATTGGTCAATAGTGTTCGAACATTTGTTTTAAACTGTAATTTTATTCTATTACTATTATTCATAATGAACTCTAGAAATTAAACAACGTTTCACAGAATTGAACAAGGTCCAGGGGGACGTGTGGTTGGCTTCCACCACACATTGGGGAGGGGGGCGGGAGAAGACGCCCCTGAGTATTAATAAAAAATAAAGTAGTCAATGTCCTATCTGACTGACATCTGACCTAGATTTGATGTTGGCATAGTCCTCTCGTAATTTTTTACAAATCAATTTCAACTTCTCACAGATACATGCTGGACACCCAACTGCCCAAAGCCAGGCCTAATGTTAGAAAAGTGGCTGTCGTTCTAACTGATGGTAACTCTCAGAAAGAACAAGTTACCAAGAATGAAGCTTTAAGGGCCAGGAAGACAGGACTGGAAGTTTTCGCCATTGGAGTCGGGAAAGACATCTCCGATCAGGAGCTGCACAATATCGCAAGTGACAGCACGTAAGTCAAAGGTCACGGAAATGGTCAGTTATATGGTCAAACGATGGTCCATCTATGGGGAGCCAATATTCACAGCCATGGGGAGCCAATAGTCACATATAGACTAGTCATTTATTTATCCTCTATGCCTATGCGCTAACTGCTACACCTGTTGCAATATTTACAAATGGTTACTCTTAAATATCCTACAGGCACGTGTTCACTGTGATCAGATACAACCTGTTGGATGACATTTTGAACAGACTCTTGTTTGAGGCTTGTGGTGGTAAGTAAAAATTTACGACTGTAACTAAACGAAATGTCATTCAAATTTGACAACGAAACAAATTAAGTTAACTTGCTTTTAAAAGGGGATGACGAGAATTGAGGTCTTCCTTGAGGATTCATAGGACATTTTTTTAAAGGGATTTCTTATCTTTTTCTTTTCTTCTTTTTTTTTTTTTAGCAAAATACAACTTAGTTCACTTTCGCTCCGTGGAAAAAAAGAAAATATAAAAAAAAAAAAAAAAAAAAAAAATCTATTTGACCAATGAACGATTGAATAATTTCCACACATCCCATTACCATTCGTGGCAGTTGCTACATGTTAACATTTCTGTATAATCGGGTCACTTTTCCCTTTTTCCCCCAGTCATGCCCGACCCACGTAAGTAATAATGTTTTATACTTTCAGAAATCTTTTATACTTTCAGACATCTTTTATACTTTCAGACATCTTTTATACTCTCAGATATCTTTAATACTTTCAGACACCTTTTATACTTTCCAACATTTTTATATTTTCTAACATCTTATATACTCTAAGACATCTTTTTGACTTTCAGATATATTTTATACTTTCAGATATCTTTCATACTCTCAACCATCTTTTATAGTTTTAGACATCCCCTATACTTTCAGACATCTCTTATACTCCCAGATATCTTATATATTTTCATACATCTTTTATACTCTCAGACATCTTTTATACTTTCAGACACCTTTTATACTTTCCAACATTTTTATATTTTATGACATCTTATATACTCTCAGACATCTTTTATACTCCAAGACATCTTTTTTGACTTCAGACATTTTTTATACTTTCAGACATCTTTCATACTCTCAACCATCTTTTATACTTTCACACATCTTTTATAATTTCTGTTTCAGGAACAAACTTTTATACTTTAAGTTTTGAAAAAGTAGTTTTTTAAAGTTTGATTTATAATTTTTTTTTATAATTTCAGCTTGTCTTATCATGATATTAGCAACTAAACATGCTGGGTATTTAATTAAAGTATCATTCAACAGTTTCAACGGACACGACATTCTTGAAAATATAGTGTAGCCATTGTTGAAAATATAGTGTAGCCATTGTTGAAAATATAGTGTAGCCATTGTTGAAAATATAGTGTAGCCATTGTTGAAAATATAGTGTAGCCATTGTAAATATTGGTATATCAATTGTTGAAAATATAGTGTAGCCATTGTTGAAAATATAGTGTAGCCATTGTAAATATTGGTATATCAATTGTTGAAAATATAGTGTAGCCATTCTTGAAAATATAGTGTAGCCATTGTAAATATTGGTATATCAATTGTTGAAAATATAGTGTAGCCATTCTTGAAAATATAATTTAGCCATTGTAAATATTGGTATATCAATTGTTGAAAATATAGTGTAGCCATTCTTGAAAATATAATTTAGCCATTGTTGAAAATATAGTGTAGCCATATATAGTCTTCCATTATTCAAAAATGTTCATATATAATAAGCCAAATTGTACAAATTGTTGAAAGACGTATATATAAAAACACACGAGTATTGGGAATTGCAAATAATTGCACACGATTTACTGTTCAGTTGTAAAACACAAACACTGGCACACTTCTGACACACTTCTAACACACACCTGACACACTTCTAACACACATCTAGCACACTTCTGGCACTATCTAACACACATCTAGCACACTTCTGACACTCTTCAGGCCCACTTCTGACACACCCCTGACACACTGATCGCTTTGTGGAAAACTAAAATTAAATGTTGGCTTTCAGCATGCCAGTACAATCCCGTGGACATCTCATTTGTAATCGATTCCTCTGTAAGTATCGGCGAGGGCAACTTCACCCTTGGCTTGGAGTTCGTGAAGGAGTTCCTCGAAGACTTTGAAATCAACCCCAGCACAGTGAGAGTGGCCGCCGTCATGTACGGGGAGGGTGTCTACACAGACTCCGCCTTTACATTTGAGTAAGTTGCCTGCGTAGTCATACCAAAAGAGAGTGCTTGATGAGTTGTTGGGGGAGTTGGGAGGTGCAGAGGGGAGGGGGTATTTAAGTTTAAGCATGCAAAAGAAGGACTAAGATTATATAAATGACAATTTAAACAACCGGTTTACCTGGGAGTTAAGTTGGACCAAAAGGTGCAAATGCATAATTTTGTACAGGACCTCTGCTCCCAGGCAACCGCCAAGCTCAACCTGGTGAAAAAACTGGCTAGCACAAGTTGGGCGCGGGCGCAAGTACGCTTAGAGCTCTTAAGCCGTGTAAGGTCGGTGATGGATTATAGCATGCCGGTCCAATCCTTTGCAAGCAAGACCGCACTGGAAAAACTGGGCTAAATCCAGAATCAGGCTCTGAGATTCATCTGTGTCGCATATAGGACTACTCCCACAGCTGCTGTAGAGGTCTTGGCCAATGTAGAACCGTTACAAATTAGGAGGGAAAAGTCAATATTAAGTACCGTAGAGAGGTACCGGCAGCTCGGCGAAAACGAACCGGCCTTCCAAATGCAGAATAACTGGGTGGGCGGCAGGAGACTAAAGCGGTCCTCTTTCATGCACCAGGTCGTGCAGCTGGAAAGGACAGTCACTTTGACCCTAATCCCAGTTAATCCGCCATATGCGGAACCCTCACGTCCCTCTATACATTTGGCCTTGACTGATGCAGCAGTGACGAAACGCAGCCCTGAACATCTCCAGAAAGTGGCTGCCCTTGAGACCATGGATGTGTTCGCACACATACCTGTGAAAGTGTTCACGGACGGCTCGGCCGACCTGAGAAAAAGAACTGCTGGGTACGGTGCGCTCATACTGTTCCCAGTGGGAGGACCACCCATTGAAGAACTCTCGGGGCCGTGTGGGACTGCAGCGTCAAATTTTGATGCGGAGCTTATAGCTATGCACATGGCCTTGGAGAGAGTCCACGACACTTTGGAAGGGACGGAACATGCGGGGCTTGATGTAGTTGTTTTCTCAGACTCAAAATCTGCTCTTGAGATCTTGGAGAAGAGACAGGGTACCACACGCTTGGTCGACGTCATTACCAATGACGTATGCAAACTTGGTGAACTAGGGTGCAAGGTTACAATACAGTGGATACCAGGGCACGTCAACATCAGTGGCAATGAGAGAGCGGACACTCTGGCGAAAACCGGGGCTGCCCAGCCTCAGCCAGAATTACCAATGACTTTCTTGGGAGTCAAAAACTGGCTGGCGGACCACTTCAGACAGAAGTGGTACAGGCAATGGGCTGACAACACGACCGCCAGAGGCGTCTATTCAAACTTGCCCACTCCTAGCAAACAAGACCCATGGTGGGGGTTAGGACGCAGATCGCAGAGTTTAGTGACGCAGATGCGCACCGAGCACTGCCCCTTGCGCACATATTTCTGGCGGCTGGATAACAACAGAGATCCTACCTGCCGGCATTGCAGCCTGGCCCCGGAGACCCTAGAGCACCTGTTGACCGAATGTCCCTCACTAGATCTCCCGGGGGAAGCCAGGGCGGTTGG